TAGGATTGCCTTGACAACACCAAATTACACAAATGATAATTTGATAGTAAAATCTAAAATGCCACTGATTACTTCATAGCACTTTTCTGCACTCAATCAAGGTGCACTTTGGTGCATTTTAGGCTATTTTTCAACATTTTATGTGGCACAGTGACATAATTGTCTTGTTTCATGTCTTGAGGAGTAAATGAAGTTAAGCTAAGCATGATAAATAATTCATTAATAAAGAATTGCATACTTAGCACCTACAATTGCTAGAATGAGGATCCCCCTTCTCCATGGCTGTTTAGAATTGAAATTTTTGAAGCCAAGTATTGAATTGGTGGCATTTTAACTAAGAAAACTGTTATATCAACATAGCTCATATACCTTTTTTCAGTGAATAAACAGTAAAGCCAATGATTTAAAATGTGGAGGAGATCAAAACATACTCCTAGACAGACTTCCACATTCATTAAAGTGTCAAAAAAACTAGGTCAACAAAGCGCTCTGAAGTGCTTGTGACAAACCATGATCGGTGCCACACTGTCTGGATACTGACAAGTGCTCACTCGCTCCCCCAAACAAGTATTTGTGTACTAGTAGTACACTGCTTTTATTCGGTGGGTTCAAAAAGTTAACATATTTATCCAACTTCATCAATTAAAATGTCAATACTTTAAGGAAGCTTACTCTTCCTCCTGTTTCTCTCTGAAATTGTTGCTAAATATATAAACAATATGCATTTCAAGTCCGGGAAATCTCTATCAGTTACAGAAGCATGCAGTTCAGCTGTCTGCTAACTGGTCAAAACCACCGCAAGCTGGTCCCTGATAGAATATGACATTACTCTGAAAACGAGGCACTGCGGACGGAGATAGTGACTGCCAGTTATTTTTAGAAATCTTGCATTGACGTATGTTACAGTTTGTGACGTTATTGTGCAAAAAGGGAAAAACGTGTAATGCTTCAATCTTTTAACATCAGATCTAACATTGTACTGACAAAAGGAAAAAAATTCACTTGCCCGCCGGGCAACTGGACGTAAAATTTACTTGTCCGACAGCAGATTTTAGTTGCCCCGGGCAAGCGGACAACCGTTTGTGTTGAGCCCTGTCATATTATTACTATCATTGTTGTTGATCAGATAACAACAAAGCCCAGAGTCTTTGGGTATTCAGACATGTCAAATGTTGAAATCAGCGTGATCTCAGACATAAACTAATCTTGGTCTGAACACAGCTGAAGGTCAACATTTCAGACAAACTTTTTCCTGGTCTGAACACAGCTGAAGGTCAACATTTCAGCCATAAGGTAATCCTGGTCTGAACACAGCTGAAGGTCAACATTTTAACTATAACCTAATCCTGGTCTGAGCACAGCTGAAGGCATACCAGTAAGGTAATTCTGGTTTGAACACGTCTACAAGTCACTACTTCTGATAAACTAATTATTGACTGGGCAAAGCTAAAAGCAACCATCCCAAACATAAATTACTCCTTTTGTGAACACGGATGAAGGCCAATAACTCAAAACAATGCATGCTCAATTACTACGAATGGGCAGAATACTATACAATCAGTGGTTGGCCAGATGATGTACACACCCAGTCCTGAGCAGCAAGAGTGCACCTGTACCAAGTTGGGGGACAGTCACCTATTTGTACTGAAATCAAAATACTTTTAGCTTCAGGCCAACAATTTAGCTCTACCTAAACCCAGATGAATAAGAAGTTTTCCACTGAAATTAGGACCTTTGTATACAGAAATGATAAATGGCTCGTGCTGTAGATCGATATTTACTAGTACTTTATCTAAGTTGTGTAATACAGATTTACTCTGGATTAAACAGAGCACTTCTACATCGATGTCATGTCTCACAATATTAATGTTTAAAAAAAATGTCACATCTCACAGCACAATCCACTGTTAAAACTAGCTCTTCTAGTGAAGGTGACACCTATATTGACAGTCAGTTTCACTATACATACAGTACACAAATAATTGATACAGATCTACAATATCCGCGGCACGCACAGCACTCTGAAGATCAAACAGAGGTCACTAAGTACATGTATACTACCTGGACTAGTTAGGCTAAAAGCAGTGCGATTGTTTAACATACGGAATGGACTTAATTACCTGGACTAGTTAGACTAAAAGCAGTGCTAATTGGTAAATATGAGATCAGGAATGAAGTTGTCATCAAACTGTAGAGTGTTCAACAAATGGAATGGACTTAATTACTAACCTGTACTATGCTAATTGTTAAATATATGAGATCACAAATGAAGTTTTTATCAAAATGTAGAGTGCAATTGTTAAACATACGGAATGGACTTAATTATGTGTACTAAGCTAAATAGTAAATTGTTGGGGTACTTATTACTTGGAAATGAAGTTTTCATCAAACTGCAAACATCAGTGAGGGTCCCATTGGGGAGGGGGGGGGGAGAGAGAGTAGTAATCACAATTCACTATTCATTTATCACTGAATGTGAGTTGAAAATCAGGCATCACTGAGTTAAATGCCTTTCTATAATGTGACAAATATGAAAAATAAAAAGCAGCATTCACAAGTCACAGGAATGGGATGCGGCACAGGTCACGCGATAAAATGAACGTTTGAAAAATACTTATTTTACATTTCCATTTCCTTTCAGTTTTTTTTTTTTCTTTTTTATTTCCATCATTTTTACCAAGATCACAGAACTTCTCCACGTTTGTCTGTTACTTCTGTACTTTCATCATGCTGTTACTGTACAAACTTTTAACATAGATAAATGATTGATAAAAAGCATTTATCATGCACAAAAGATACCAAACATTCCATTTTTGCCACATGCAAGTAAATTATTAAAGTGACTATATATGCACTATCTGACACACACAAATTTAAGTCCAATTCCACGGCTAATTTTTCTTCCATTAAAGACAATAAGTGGCTTCAATAAGGCATCAATTTTCCACATAAACAACCAATAAACAGGTACCCCAACAATATAAAAGTACTCTGAAAGTACGCAATTTTCCAAACAACTATTAATCATGACTTCCCTGAAGTAGTTTACAAATCAAGAACCTAATCTAACCATCACAGGGAGAAGAGAATCTTCATGCTGGTTCGGAGGAAAAATAATTCAAACCACAAATTAGACTAAAAGGTAGCATCAGATGACCAGACAGATCAACCAGGAACTAGTCACATTGAGAGACAGATCAACCAGGAACTAGTCAGATTACCAGACAGATCAACCAGGGACTAATCAGACAACCGGACAGATCAACTACACAGGAACTAATCAGACAGCCAGACAGATCAACCAGGAACTAATCAGCAAAACCAGACAGATCAACCAGGAACAAATCAGACAACCAGACAGATCAACCAGGAACAAATCAGACAACCAGACAGAGCAACCAGGAACAAATCAGACAACCAGACAGATCAACCAGGAACTAATCAGACAACCAGACAGATCAACCAGGAACTAATCAGACAACCAGACAGATCAACTAGGAACTAATCAGACAACCAGACAGATCAACCAGGAACAAATCAGATTACCAGACAGATCAACCAGGGACTAATCAGATGACCAGACAGATCAACCTGGAACTAATCAGATTACAAGATAAATCAACCCTGGCCCAAATCAGTCAACCAGACAGCTCAACCAGGAACTAATCAGATAACCAGACAGACCAACCAGGGACTAAGGTGTCTGAGGCAAAGTAATATCTCCACAATATTAGGTCCTGTCCTTAGGTTTGCTTTCAGCTGTTCCTACCAATCTAAAAAAATTTCGTAAATGGTGCGTGTTGGGCAAGGGGACTGCCTTCATTTAAGTTTCTCTCACTTGTAAAACGTGGCTACCTATCAAGTTTTTGATCT